CTGCTCCTACTTGATGACCCCTCTTCCCTGCTAAACCGGAGGCAGCGCACCCCACAAGCGCCAGCGATAAAGCCCAGCACCGAGCTGTGCACACCCCTAAACCCTGCACGTACTCACAGGGACTGAGATTCCACGTTTCCTCGGACTCGGAGTTCAAAGAGAGCTGGGAAGGAGTGGGCCCACGAGAAACGCTGTAACGGTAGCTGCCCATCAAGCTGCCCCCGTTGGTGTCTGTGTGGCTGAGGGACAAGTACTGGCTCTTCACGCCCAGCTCCTTCTTCCCACCGCCCCCATCAGAACTGCGGGAGCTGGAACGGAGAGCGCCATCGTGCTCGCCACTCAGCTCCGGGGTCCTGGTGCTGCTGCTGGTATCCGTCTCCAAGCTGTCGTCCCCACCAATGTAGAACCTCCCGCTCTCGCTGGCCGGGGTGGGTGGTTCTGCCGGGCCCTCCTGCAGGCTGCCCGCCTCCAGGACAGAGTCTGGCAGCTCCTCACTCGTGCTGTCAGGGCCAGGATGCAGAGGCGTGCTGGAGCACACCTCTGAAGGCAGGATGACCACATGGTCACTGGAACAACTTGGACAGGCTATGGGCTCATCAGCTGCTGCAGTACCTGTGGAAGACTTTATCAGGGACAAAGGAAAAACAGAACAGCTCTCCTCCAACACGATTCTAATTTTATTTTTTCCTCTGCAAACCCCAAACCATCTCTTTCAAAGCAGACAATAGCTATAGTCAGACCCGAGCAGCTTGTTGAACAACTCTGTTGAGAATCACGCCCCACACACCTCCCCTCACAAATCAGTGAGAAATTCTGGATCCGCGCCAACATCCACCTGAGAGAGCTCTGCTCAGGATTAGGGTGACCAGAGTGTGCTGCAGTTGCAACTAAAACTCCATCAGGGCTTTGGCTCATGACTTTTCCTCCACTTCATGTCCACACATGCTCACGTAGCCTTTCAAGGCCAAGCTCACGACCAGCCAGTCCAGCCTGTCTTAGCTACCTCCATCCCCAGCGTGGTGTATCCTCCAGCCATCCAAACCACACGCATGCTGCGTCCCTTCTCCAGCTGCCCGCATTCATCCCTCCTAACCCCAATTCCCGATGCTTCACCCACACTGAGGCAGAGTCCCAGCTGGATCCTAGGACTCCCACTATCCTGGCAGGGGGGTGAAAGTGTCCTGGGGTGGAAGAAAGTGCTGCAGCCAGGACAGCATCTCTGCCCTCAGACGTTGATCCCAGGCTACTTCACCAAACACGCAGCATCTCCCAAGCTAAGGCTGGGCACTGCCCACTTCAAATGGAAACTGAGCGCTAGAAAACGCAGCAAACAGAAGGTGCCTGTTCAGCACTAGCCATGTCTCGGCCAAAATACCACACCTGGCTTCAGACACACGAAGAAAAATGTGGACAAATGGAAAGAGCACAAAGGAGACCAGCAAGAATAACTGCATTGTAGTAGATATGACTGACAAGGAAATTATCTGGGGAGTGGAGCTTATTTAGTCTAGAGAACAGTAGACAGGACTAGTTGCGGGGGGAGAACAATGGTCCTCAAGTACAAAGAAAGGAATAAATCATTCCCCATAAGAGAAGCAAGAGTGGGCTTAAGATCACAGCCAGGGAGACTTAGGTTAGGGTTCCAGTTGTTTTTCTGATGCCCAACACCCAAAGTTTTACCTGGAATACTGGAGAAGATTCCCCAGAAGCCTCTGTTAGCAAAAGCCCTTAAGAACAAATTAAGTCTCTGTGGCAGAACTGACCCCAGCTTCAACAGGCTATATGACCTTTAATTGGAGAAGCCTCTGAGGCCTCTCCCGGACTGCAGTTTTCTTTGGGCCATCTGCAGTTTCCAGCGCCCCCCTGTTCTCCCAGACCCCAGGCCACCCATAACAGGGGTGCTGCTTGCTTAGCCTTAAACCAG